TCCTCAGTAAGACTTAGGTCCTTCTTACCGGACATCAAAGATGTAACAAATAAATAAATAAACAAATAATATAAACAGATAAGAATACGATGGCGTAACAATTCTCTGCAACACGATTGATAGGCTTTGACATCCGATTTGTAAATCCTCTGGTGAAATGCTGATCAGAGAATTGCTTACGACAGAGGCCGTCCCATTCCTGATAAACTCTGGCTTCCTTAGCCTGCAGTAATTGAACCAGAGAAACCCCAAATTGACCTTTCAATTGACAAGTATGTGAAAAACGTCATGACACAATTATAAGTTAACGCAAAGAAGCCTCTAGTGAAAATGTTATGTCGACTGTTATTGCTCACTTAGTTTTAAAGTTCTAGATCAGTCTGATCTGAATGTGTCAGATTAATTAAGAGTTATATTTAAAACAGAGCAAGAGGACATGGTCACGTCCTCCCAAGATATAAACAACAGCGCAAAGCATGAAGGCTCCTTCGTGTTGCCAGCAGCTTTGAGAGTTAACATAACCACAGCTTTCACGTACTTTTCTTACCGGCATCATAACAAAATATTTCGCTCAGTCGCCACGTTTCTATTTTTCGCTTCCTTCAAAAGATGCTCTAAAAAATGTGACATTTAAATATCTCTTACCATGCAGAACTTAAATATACCGGAACACAATTTCGCGCTGCCGCCATGTTTCTGTTTGTAAACTGTACTTGTAGATAGTTCAGCATGGCATGTTGTCGATATGAATTGTCACAGAATTTTATTTTACGATAACAAAATTAAGTAGGCCTATAACATCTACCTTGAATTTGTATCTTATATGCGTCATGTTTGTGTTTGATTAAATATATTTATTTTGTACAGTCTATACACAAACGTTTGAAGTTTATTGGTGTTGTAAAAATTATATAATATTAAAACATTTTGTTGTGTAAAATATTATATTAGCGCTCTTAATCGTAAATACGATTTTACATTATATTTTTTTAGCGCTTTTATTAAAACGACATGTTTCGACGGGTAATACCGTCGTATTCAGGTTTTTATCAATTTAAAATATTTTAAAAACTATTAGATATTTGATGCAATATATTATAATGATCCGTAGTTCTGTTTGTAGCTTATATCTACCTTGAAGTTCCTTTAATGAACAGTTTTTAAAGCTCCTAAAATTTATAAATGTCAATATCGGTAAATGTATTTAAAAATATCAGCTGTACAAATTTAATTTATTTCGACAGTCGTAGTTTGTTAATACTTCCTCCAGGTGATAACCAAATCACTATTTATAACTTTTGGGCTAGTACGTGACTATTAAAAAAACAAATATTATTTGCATTTTCATAAGATAGTATAATTGCGTCATATTGTGAATCAAATATTAAATTAATTATTCGATTTTGTCCGTCTAATCACAATTATATTTAAAATTTACAAATTATCTTATTTGTAAATTTTAAATATAATTGTGATTAGACGGACAAAACCGAATAATTAATTTAATATTTGATTCACAATATAACGCAATTATACTATCTCATCTGAAGAATAGTCGAGATTTGTAAATTTTAAATTTAAATATAAATTTAAATATAATTGTGATTAGACGGACAAAACCGAATAATTAATTTAATATTTGCATTTTGTATTTTTCATATTGTTTTGGGTTCTGGCATTCACAAAAAAAAACCTTAATACCAGCACCTGAAAGCAGGATCATTCTTAGTAGTGAATCACCGCGAACGATTAAAATCAGTAATTACACTCTGCATGTTAGTACTGGGCTACTATTTGAACACTACTAAACAGAAGATGCATATAGGAATCTTGCTGGATATTGTCCAAAGGCGATCTTGAACTTTCAAGTTCCGCTCCGACAGTGGTAGTACCTGGCTAATATTTGAGACTCTGCCACAATTTATAATGTATGTGCTAGTACCCGGCTGCTATTTGTGTTACTACGCCAGTCAACACTGCAATTTTATACCCAGCAGTCCAGAATTTACGATAATACATCACTCAGATAAAGTCTTTGAGACCAATGATACAGCCTGGATCAGGGCCGGACTTATCTAAGCATCTGTCAAGTTTATGATGTCTCTTAAATTAGAAATTAAAAAAATATATTATTCTAACTGAAGGTATTAAAGTTAAGAATTAAACAAGACACTGATGTGATGAAATTTTTTTTTTTGGCAATACTGACTTATAAGGCTATCATAACATGTTTGCATAGCAGTTTAATTAAAATATTGAACTTTTTATATCGAAATCATTGATGATATCTTCATAAGATGTTTGCAAGTTTCGATGTACGTGATGTTTAGTGCAGACAGCTTTTCTTGTGATATTCTTATCAGCAGTTAATTCTTTGTACTTTAAAAGCGAAAAGAATCTTTCTCCTGAGCAGTGTCTAACCATAGGATTCATAAATAGTTGAAATGTTGATTCCACATTAGGGAATGTCATCTTCGATTAGGATTTGTTAAAGGTCCTCGTCGTTTGAACTTCCTTTGGCTGCGTCTCTGTAATTGTCTCTGATATAAGCATGAAAGTGTTGTGTCTCTCCCAGCGAGGTTAATATCAATATTTTCAACATTGGGAGTCTTTCATTTAGCTACTCTTAAAAAGTGTTCAAATACACTGAAAACTAAAAATTATTAGTAACATTTTAGTATAAGATTAATCTCTCTAAATTTGTTTCTAGCGCATGAAGGATTTGACCGGAAATTTGTGTCTTATAGAAAGAGTTTCATCTCCGTTGGGAGCATCTCCATCATTTCCGTTTCCTGTTATTTTCCGTGCATTTTTACTTTCGTCGTCAAATGCTTATCGTGTTTCTTCCAAGCGGAGGGGTGCTTTGGAAAGTTTGGGGCATTCATTAAGGGGTATTTGTAAATCGAGTACAGATGGCTGGTTTCGTGAAATTGATTTAATAGACGATTTCAAAATTCTAACCTAAATTCAAATTCTAATTCTTGCAAAACATCAGCTTCTCATCTTGTGAAAATGTCTGTCTTCTGGGCTGTTGCGCCGAGTAGTCTGAGTAAAATCTCCCTGATGATGGAGGCCGCAAGGACCTCCGAAACGTCAAGGTAAATTAATTTTAACATTAAAATTCGAAAGCAGCTTCGATACAGAATAAACTCATATTACTTTCTTATATTTATCACCGGCTAATATTGTAACATAAAAGGCAGTTAACAGAAACTCTAATAATAAATCGTCGCAGAATAATTTATATTGTTTTCAATAATTATTTATTTTAATCCGTCTTATCACAATATTTAAAATTTCTTATAATTAAGATAATAAAATATTATTGATGTTCCATATCGATTGATCGATTTACATTTTGGAACATCTTTTACACAACATGATGTTCCAAAATGTAAATCGATCAATCGATATGGAACATCAATAATATTTTATTATCTTAATTATAAGAAATTTTAAATATTGTGATAAGACGGATTAAAATAAATAATTATTAGAATATTCAAAATATGACGCAATTACACTATTTTATTGTTTTCAATGTTAGAAATTCAAAAGTAAAGTTACGAGTCTCATATCCTGTATTTCAAATGTAGAATGATAAGCTCTACTAATCCTTAATGAACCATTTTCCGTCATTTTCTACTTAAATGCCCTACGTAATTTTCTTGGCATGTTTTTTACGAGCGTGTGATTATGAGAGGCGTTAGTCTTGACATTGAAGGTATTAATTTACAGCTTAAGAAACAAACAATGTGATAAATACAGAGATAAAGGACTTAAAACATTAGCCCTACATTAATACCATTTTATCTTTACTGTTCTATTATGCAATGTATAAAGTTCCTTTGTTTTGTGGAGCGTTTGTATTAAAACAAGCAGGGAAACTTAGAATTATGATGAAGCAGACACGCGGACGAAATATGTATATTTTATTCGCGTAATTAATACCTGACAAATTTAATATTTGTGAAAAGCAAATCCAGTGTTTGACTGTGTAACCAGATTAAAGGAACATCATCTTGGGAGGGAAGGTGTGAATGTCTTCTAGCCTCATACACAATAAGACGTTTACCGACGTTTCAGAAGTACTTGTTGCCTCCATCATCTCACTGATGGAGTCAGCAAGCACCTCTGAAATGTCGGTAAACTTCTACAAGACTACACGAAACCAAACCCCAGTAGACAGAAATCTTCATACTCTGATGACGGAGGCAGTATGACCTCCGAAACGTTGGTAAACATCGACCAGACTACACAGCGCAACAACCCAGAAGACAGGAATCTTCATACTCTGATGACGGAGGCAGTATGACCTCCGAAACGTCGGTAAACGTCTACCAGACTACACGAAGCCAAAACCCAGTAGACAGCCATCTTCAGACTCACCGCCATGACAACCTGAAATCTCACGAATAACAACAGGACTTACAGACGAAATGTAGTCTCTGAACCTTCCTTCTTCAGGAATGCTTATTTTCTTGGGTGTTAACTCGCTCCAGATTGCGCATCAATATTCTGATTATTTTCTATAGTACATAAAACATTTTAAATTAGTTTAAAAACTACTTATAATAACAAAACAGTGGACTATTCTTCAAGACGTGTTGATGATATTTGTCTAAAAAGTGTATAATTCTTGCTCTTCTGTTCGTTAAAAATCTCATATAGACCTAGTTTTTTTTAAACTGATTTATTGGCTCCGAAGTCCGAAAATCTCTTTGTACAATGTCGGTTCCGGCGAGTTAAATTGGTTGTTTGAAAGTTTGTTTTTTCTCATAAAACGGTTAAAATATTCCTCGACAGAAAATGCCTGATATATTCATAATATTTGTATCCGGCCATTTAATTAAACAATGAAAATAAATTTAAAACTGTCTTTCCCGTACCAGAGTCAATGACAAATCGTAGATTTTCTTGGGTTGACGCGGAAATATTTGCGACTAGGCAGGATAGTGGGAGATTCAGGTACAGGACTACGTTTCAATAAACACAACAAATAAGTTTGATAAACAATTTGTTATTGGATAGTTTTCTAAAACTGGATACACATTTACTGTTCAGAATAAACTCTTCTGAAGGCACACATATCAAAGGTTTACCAGAAAATACAAAAGACGGTCATCAAAACTTGAACCTAATGCAATATTTTTCCAAAATTATCTGATCGCTAATTCTTATCTATCTGACTTAATATATTATCATTATAGAATATTTATATAATATTATTTAAATTTTTTTCTTGAACTGTGTTCCAACAAATAACTTTTACCTGGGTTGCTGACGTAAAACAGCCATGTTTATCAACTGATGGCCTTGTGCGTGGAGTTTGGAAGTTTTGAAGGACCTCAGCTTCAAAAATCCCCTTTTAAATCACCGCTGACTGGCTTGTCCACCAGATCGATTCTTTGTGTAATGAAATATGCAAAACTGTAATGGGATGTTCAATGGCCTTTGCGTGCTTTATATCTTGACTTTGTGCTTCGCAGAGGATCTGAAATAAATACGAATGTTTCAATCCTGACTTAATTTAAAATGCCAGGTCCTTCGACGCGAAACCAGTAACTGCTGAGTGATTATTTCTCTATTTGCCTTTCCTGTCGAAAACCAGTAACTGCTGAGTGATTATTTCTGTAGTTGCCTTTCCTGTCGACACATGTTTCATGAATAAATAAAAATATAAAGGGGTAAGTTACATGATTCTTTGTGGTTATTAAATCTGGGCTCGAACCGAGGTCCTGGACAGCTATAATCTGTAGTCCCCATAACCTCGTTCTCTGTGAATCATCCTAAAACATCAATGTCGTTATTTCATCTCGCGCGTCTTCCAAATGGCCGCTGTCCAAGAGATTTACACACCACAGACTTTCTGGGTCTTAGTGCCAGCTACAGAACAGAACGTCTATATATTTGCCCGAACCGTTTTAAAGGCTACATCGAATACCTCCCGAGGTTGGGACAAACATTATTATATAGGTTTTGTCCTCTGTCTCCCCCCCCCCGTCGAGGATCGAACCCCGGTCGTCCAGCTAGTAGCTAGTCACTATACCGACTGAGCAATCTCGCTTCCGAAATATATTTAATTACCGTAAGTAAATATATTGTTTTATTTTCCGTTAAATTTTCAAATAAATAAAATATAAAAACTTTATCAGTTCCATCAGTCAGTGCTGATTAATTACTACGTGTATTTTCAAACAATTACGTTTGCATTGTACCTACAATGACCCGGCTGTTCTGAAAATGTATTATTATTATTTTTTTATTTAGTGTTCTGTCTGACGACAGGTCCATATGAACAGGATCCTTCCATCCTTTTCTCGGACTGGGACCTGTTCATATACGTTCTTGGCAGATGATCCAGAAGTGGTTTGACATTGC